GCCAGTAATCCCAGCCCCACAGGAGGCTGAGGTGGAGCATCATAAGTTGAAGGTCAGCCATAGCAACTTAGTGAGACCCTGTCTCAAAACATAAAAATTAAAAAGGGCTGAGGATGTAGCTCAATGAGAGAGCTCCCCTGGGTTCCATTCCCAGCACCACAAACAAAACAAAACACCAAACAAACAAACAAAAAACACTTTTCAACTTGTCTATCACTTTATGATCATGCTCCAGGAGAAATAGGGAGATGCACTGGCCCAACCAACACTGACTTGAAAAAAGTCATTAGAAATTATTTTTGACACTTGGAACTGGCAGCCTGAGAATCAGAATTTGGATTTTGCTGGTCAAACATCTCAGGGGCTATTTCTTCCTAAAACTACCATCCAAGTTGACAGCTATCCAGTTGCTGGAAGAGTGGCATTATAGTCTTTTTGATGGATTTGAGAAATTCTACAAATGTGGCCAACAGAATAGTTGACGATAGAGTAGCCAAATTAGCCACTTCTTATTAAGCGTAAAACAGAGCAATGTGAGCCTAAATACTTGGCTACAAAGCAGACTAGCAGAAATTGAAGTGCAGAATAATCAAGGCTAAAGTTGCAGGCCAGATTTTAAAAGCATGAAAAGATCAAAACAAGCAGTAAGAACCCAAAAAACATAAAAGCATGGACATCTTGAGTTTTAAGGAATTAAATATAAGTAACGTTAGGCCTTGTTCATTGTCCATTGTAAGAAACAGGACATCCTTGTAGCTGACACAATCGTTTCTAGGACAACCTGATATCTTAAAGCAATTCATTTTTAGACCTGGAAAAAATGTCACCTTATGCATGCCTCACGAGTTGAAAATTCTTCCTTGAAACTATCCATGTATCCAAAATAAAGTTTTTGTTTATTTATTTATTTTTCTTTTTTTTTTTTTTCACAAAACAAAATTTCTCCTTAAGATGCCAGAACTCTTCTCATCTATTTCATATGAAACTTAAAAATATGCCCTTTTTTTCACAGATCTTTAAATCCTAGGCATGTTAACATGATTTAACCTTTTTGGTGACCCAGGCCATACTTAATATGGTATGGTAACTGGAGGCCTTGAAGAGGTGAGAGAATGTTTGGAGTAGAGGCACAGAGGAAGGGACGTGGATGATAAGGGGTGGCAATCTGAGAGTGCGGAATATTCAGAATCAAGATTTTTAGAAGTGATGATGTTATTGAAGATGATAAAGCCCAGGGCTTATCTGACAGCCTGTGAGAACCATCTGGAGAACTAGATTTCAAAATTGCTGTCTTCTGGCCACTTCGTTATGTCCCCAGATAGGGCTCCAGCTTTCTCATGGACATTCCAAACAGTGGGCAGGAAGAAGCGGGAGAGGCTAGATCAGCCGACTCACAGACAAATTCTTGGGGGCTGTCACCCAATCCCCTTGCCCAGAACTTGACAACATGGCCATACCATACAATAACTGTAAGGCCTTGGGACATCTAGTCTTCATCCTGATTGGTCATCTGCCCAGCTACACCTGCTGTTAGTATAGACGAAGGGAAGAATGGGGGTGCCTCAGGAGGGTAGTGGGTTACACAGTCTGATAATATGGGCTTCAGATGAGCTGTTAATTTTGAAATTGTACATCTCCTCCCATCCCAGGCACTCAAGTCCCTAGATGGGAAAGGGAAAGCAGCTTCCAGCTGAGAAGGATCCCGTAGGAGACAACCAGGTCTCAACCAGGGCAAGAATGGGAAATGTAGAGAAGTTAACGATAAAAAGGATTATTTTAATGGCAATAGTTATTTACTGCCCACCCCCATAGCTTGTTTAGTTTTTGTTTTGTTTTTGTAGCCAACGTGTATTGCATTATCGTGATAATCACTCCTTTGCAAATACACTTAGTTGGTACCTTTTGCATTCCATAGTACTCTTGGAAAATCCCCAACTCTGAGTGAGCTCAACTGTCTCCTCCTTCTCATAAAATTAGTAGCTACAGAGCTTCAGTGAGTTTTCAACATGGTCCGAGAACCCTGCAAGGTCTCCCTTGGGCAGGCCATGGCCCACTCTTTAGAAGATCGTGGTTCCCATCTTCTTCTAACTCCTGCTCTGAGTGCAGAAGTGTCCTGAGCCCCAGCCCTTCTAGCAGGTGTGTAAACCCTCATGACCTCTCCCGTGACCTCAGGAAACATGTCCCCATGCCTGCCTGGCATCTCCACTTAGGTGTTTGTAGGCATGTTGTCCCTGAGCACTTCCAAGCAGGGCTCTTGGTTTCCCACCACAGACCCGACATCTCTTGCAGCCTTTACCATCTCCATAAACCTCACAGCCACCCACTGGGCGGCTAACTTTAAAAGCTCAGGTGCTGCTCTCCCCACCCCACACCATCACACCCCATGCTTCCCCAAGTCCTGTCGGTTCTGTCTTCATGAAGAGTATACCAGCGCCTAGGTCCTCTCCCAGTGTTCTCAGGGACTCGGGCTCCTTCCAACTCGAGCTCACCATCCCTATCCATGATGCAGCCCAAGTGCTTTGCTGCTTTGAAATTTTCTCCACCAAATAAAGTAATCTAACCCCTTCAAGCTTGACCTCCTGCAAAGAATCAGGACATGGACAAAATGCATCCTTTTTTTTTATGCTATATTTTGACAGGGGTGACCTTTTCAATTCCTGGTAGAATCTTCATTTCCATCTGAAACCTCATTAGCATAACCTTTGCTCTCTAGATCAGCATTCTGGTCTTCCAGATCCGCATCCAGCTCACCCATTAAGCTCTGCTTGCAGCATTCTAGGTATTCTCTAGCCTACTTCTTCAAACTTTGCCAAATTCCTGTGAGCTAGTTCCAAAGGCTCCTCCACATAGGCAAAACTGTTAAAAAGTGGAGAACGGCTCTGCTTCTCAGTATTACTTTTCTTTGTTAGTCAGCTTTCTGTCACCATGACAAAATATCTGAGATAATTAACTTATTAAAATAAAAGGTTTTGGGGGGCTGGGATTGTGGCTTAGCGGTAGAAAGCTCACCTGGCACACGTGAAGCCCTGGGTTCGATCCTCAGCACCATATAAAAATAAATAAAATAAAGGTATTTTAAAAAAACAGTTTTGGGCTTGTGGTTTTCTTTTTTAAAATTTTTATTTATATTTTTATGGGGCTAGGGACTGTACCCAGGATCTCACACATGCTAAGTAAGTGCACTGAGTTACACCCCAAGCCCTGACTCGTGGTTTTAGAAATTCTAGTCCATGATATAAGCTGGACTCATTTCTTTTAAATCTCTGGCAGGGGTGCTCAATGACAATGCTAGGCACTTCCCCAGTGACTTGAAGACCTCCTGCTAGGCCATATCTCCTACAGGTTCCACTTCTTCCGGGTATCACCACCCTGGTGACCAAGCCTTTGCCACCTGGGTCTTTGAACACCAAAACTATAGGAAAATAAGCTAATTTATTAAACTTGCTAGAAATTGCATGTGAAAAATGGGGGATTTCAGAGGCAAGCACAGCATTAGGGAGGGGGCATCGTCCTTATCTATGTCCTGATTCCCGACTCTTGTCTTTTTTTGCTTGTCTTGTCAAGGTCTTTATCAAACCAGGCTTATAGGAAATATAAGGGAAGGAGAGAAGTCAAATGTGCTTTCAAGTCATAATAACTGGTTGTCAGAGCGTGGAAAAGGGGTGGTTCGAAGGAAGGAGAAGAGCAACCAAGGAGGGTAGAAAAGTGCAAGTTGTCCCTGAGAAAGGGCTCTGCACACACCTGTCATTGCTGGTCTAGGAAAGGGGCTGGGAAGAGGAAAGGTGAGCAGTCTCTTGGTTTTCTGAGGTTACTTCTGTGACAAAGTTGGACTCTGATGCTTATAACCAAATATCCCAGCACATCCCTAGGTGGGGCTTCAGATAACGAGGTTTAAGGATGATTGCTTTCTCTTGAAGTTCATAAATTGCCCTAAAGTAGAAAACAGTAGAACTTAAGGATTTATTGTTGTGGTGGTAAATACATGTGACATAAGGTGACCCTTGTAATCATACCTAAGCCCATGATTCAGCAGCATGAAGTACATTCACATTGTTCTACAACCATTACCTCTATCCAGCTCCAGGATTTTCTCATCGTTTTAAAGGGAAACTCTGCTCCCATTAAACAATGACTCCCTGTCCCCACTCCCCTTAGACCCTGATTACCACTATTGTACTTTCTGCCTCAGTGATGTTGACTCTCAAGGTACCTCATATAAGTGGAATAATGTAACATTCATCCACTTGTGCCTGGCTTATTTCACTTAGCATAATGTCTTCAGAGTTCACCGTGAATGAATCAGAACTTCTTTCCTTCTTAAGGCTGAATAATGGTCCATCATATAGAAATAGCACATTTTTTTTTATCCATTCATCCATGGATAGGTTGCTTTCACTTTGACTGTTGGAAATAATGTTGCTACGAAGATGTGTGTACAAAACATCTCTTCATGCCTCTGCTTTCAATTCTTTTGGATTTATACCCAGAAGTGGAATTGACGGATCATATATTTTGTGTTTAATTTTTTGAGAAAAATACTCAAGGGATTTCAACCCTACTAATCTGTTGAACAAAAGGAGCTTTCATTTATTTCTTTATGCCACGTGATGTGTAGCTAGGCATCAGATAAATGGAAATGAAAGGAATGAGGCTCTTCCTCTTAAGAGACATGGGGGTTTAATATAAATAACAGATCCAACAGTTATGTAAACAATTAGCGCTTAAATGCTGCGTTCAGTTCCTTAAGAAGGTACGTGTGGGGTGCTCTGGGAGCACATTCTACTAACAGTGTTTTCTAGCGTTCTTGAAGATACAGTCTCCTTTAAGATGTCCTTTAAGATGGTGTTCTACAAGTCCTAGTTAATAGTGGAGCATGCAGTGGAGAAGTTACAGTGTACAAGTTTTTGAAATAAATTTGGTTTTGCAATAGCTAACTCAATCCATCTGTTTTTTTTTTTTTTTCTTATGACCTAAATGTCTCTTCTTGTTTCTTCTTCTAGTGGTTTTTAATTGCCAACAGATCTTACAAAGTCAGTGTGGCAAGTTCCTTTTTCTTCAGTGGGGTGTTTGTTGGCGTGATCTCTTTTGGTCAGCTTTCAGATCGCTTCGGAAGGAAAAAAGTCTATCTCACAGGTAATCTATCAGTGTTCATGAAATGAATAAGAGGATGAGTTTCCTGAAGACTCTTAGGGAAATAAAAAGGAGGCTGGTTTCTCAGAGTTCTCAGGGAATTGACATGGGGACACAGATTGTATTTTTATTATACTGGCAAAAGACCAAACTGCAAGCAGAGTGAGTTCTGGCTTGTCAGTGACTAACCCCCCTGGTTAAGCCTAGGTATTAGCGTTAAAAACTTTTGTGGGTGATGTATTTCTCTGCAACCCCAAATTGCAATTGAAGCCATATTTCTAAAAGGAGCAGTGAAAGATTTGAGACAGTCTTCCATATCCATTTCCTCATATCTCTCTCTGTTGATTCATTTCAAATGAGCTCTACAGGACTTGGCATAGTCTCTCAGCAAGCTGAGTATAAGCAAGTATTTTTAATTTCTAGCATTTTTTTTAATTTTTAAAAATTTTTTAAAAATAAAAAAAACTTTCTATCATTTATTATGAATAATTGAAAACTGTGTGTGATTGACAGAAATTGTGTCACCAAGACAGTAAACCTCTGTTTTTTTCTGTCGTTTTCAAGAGAAACTGTTGGGAAAAAACATAGCTCAGAAAATATAAGTTTACAATGGATTACTTTACAGACTAATGGATATAATTTATTACTTTCATCAAATGCTATTTTGCCTCTAAATCATTGAATATTATTCCTTTTTTTCTAGGTTTTGCTCTTGACATCTTATTTGCTATCGCAAATGGATTTTCCCCTTCATATGAGTTCTTTGCAATAACTCGATTCTTGGTGGGCATGATGAATGGAGGGATGTCGCTGGTGGCCTTTGTCTTGCTAAATGAATGTGTGGGCACCGCCTACTGGGCACTTGCAGGTACTGCTTAAATCCTTGCAGATCCGAATGTGGTGAGTTGCTCTGCAAAACCTTGCAGAGAACTAGTTTAACCCTAGAGTCTGAAAATGCATTTGGACTTGAGGCACTTAATCCAACTACAGGTTGAGTAGCCCTGATCCAGAATGCTTGGGACCAGAAGTGTTTCAGACTTTTTCAGATTTAGTGATATTTTTTGTATTTATAATGAAACATGTTGGGAATGGAATGCGAAGTCTAAGCACAAAGTTAATTTATATTATACTTTATATTCATAGCTGAAGGCAATTTTGTTCAATATTTTGAGCATGTCTGCATTTTGACTGTGACTCCTCATGTGAGATCAGGCGTGGGAGGTATCATGTCAGTGCTCCAAAACTTTTGGATTTTACAGCATTTTGGATTTTGGATTTCCAGATGAGGAATGCTCAATCTGTATTAAATTTGATTTCCTGAATTTGTTTTGTATAACATCAGATGAGTCATTTTATTCATATTCCTTGGTAAAATGTCTCTCTAGGGCCTGTACCACAGATGGTGACCTTGGTACCCAACTCACAGCCTGTCTGCATTTTGTTGTGGAGAGTGCTCAGAACAGCATTAAATGCTATTTAGCTTAAAGTGGGAAATACTGCAGAGATAGAAAGTACTAGAACTTCTTTTCTTGAAGCCTTCTTATTGTATTTTATTAAATCCTATTTCATAGCCTTTCTCATTTTTACTGTTCTCTTCAAATCAATAAATGATATTGTTATAGAATTTCTTTAGTAAAAAAATTTGCAAAATGAGGTTCTTTCAGTTTTATTTTTAACAATTCCATCATTTCCTCAAGAACTAATATATAGTAAAAAAAATGATTTTAAAGGATTTTTTTTTTTTTTTACTTAAAATATAGTCTTGGGATAGTGCCTGTGTCTAAAACTCTACTTTCTGGATTATAGGTTCACAGTGATACCTTTTTGTTTGTTTCACTTCCACTTACTTGACAATCACTAAGTACCACTGATATTCATAAACTGATATGGGAAACGAGTTGACCTTGTGACTCACAGCAGTGTTTCTAAGTGAGGATGTCTTGAGAGAATGCCATTGTCGCTCCTTAGAACTCACATGCAGTGCCACCTTCCATTTGTTGAGTGCCTGTTACAGCCAGGTACCACCCTAGGCATTTGACATACATCTGTAATATTTCCAGATCTTACCAATTAAGAATTTCTACCTTCATTTAATGCTTTCAGTTCCACCTTGTCTGTAGCAGCTGCCAGAGTGTACTTATCCCCTAACCCAGCTCCTAAACTAGGACCAGTGAGAAACTTTCCTCTGAGGTTTCCATTTGTATTGAGTCATTAATGTCATGGGGGTGGGGGGATGAGTGAAGATTGAACTCAGGGATTTGGCATGCTGAGCAAATACTTTACCAGTGAGTTGTAACTCCAGCCCTAATGGAATCTTTCTAAATAGTAAGGTCAGACTAATTCCAAGGAACTAGTAAAGTGATTGCAGCTGTATGCAGGGCAGGAACAAGGACACTGTCTCTGGTTTGGGCTGTCCCGGGGTCCAGGGTCTAGTTCTTGCTCACTTAGAGTATCACGACACCGTATTTTTCACAAACCTTGTAAATTTCTCTGAGAAGAATCACATTTAACTTGAGCTGTTCCATGAAGATGCTCTTGTGTAAAAGACATATACTGCCCTCCCCCTGCCAGATTATCTGATTATTCCTGTCCTGTTGCATATGTTGGGCAAAAGGAAAGACCTCCTGGACTCTTGTTTCCATGACAGTCACCTAAAGCCCTTGAAAAAATTCATAACGAAGTGCTTTCACCTCTCATTCTTGTCCTTGAAGCAGGGTTAAGATGAGGCAATTAAAATTTTTGTAGCAAAGAAAAAAGGGAGGAAGGGAAAAAATTTTTAAAAAATCAAATAAAACAGTGGAGCCAGATGGTTGCCAAATTCAATGTGAAATTCAGAGTGTGACAGAGTTCCCTGGAGGCCACGACTGGGACCTGCACCCAGGACAAAAGGAAGCCTCTTCTAATGGAGCCCAGAATGCTTTTGTGTACAGCTTCCTTTTTCTCCCATGAGCCAAGGTCTTCCCCAGAATTTTATCCTCGACCATTCTTTTCAAGTTGGTTTCTCTCCAGCACAACCTTATACACCCCTATGACTTCAAGTATGCTCGTGAGCTGCAAGACGTTGGAAAAATCGGTCAGAAAATCAATGCTGGATAGCTAAATAGTATTTTTTAGTATGTATAAAATAGTGTGTAAAGTATGTACAAAAAAGGCACAAGTACAAACTGAAGGAATCCATTTCTGATCGGTGTTGAACAGCCTACGAAGAAGGAAACTATCGATTATGGTAGTTACTGCGATTGAAATATGAGGTCAAGTACTAAAGCTTATGAAAGGCCCATGCTAGAACGTTGGTTATTTGTTTTCTTAATACCTTCTCAGAACAAAGAGAATAGATCTACACATCAAATGTAAAGAATACTGTGGTCCCACCTGCCCACAGAGGATGGTGGCTCACATTTTGCTGAGTGTCCTTCTGCAGCTCTTCCTGTGCCCATCCGTTCCACAACACTCACTTATGAAACGGACCCTGCCACATGTCAGACCCAGCTTTTTAGAGCATTTTAGATCAAACGGGTGGACCAGATAGGAGGTAGGTGGGGGAAGGTCCTGGCTGTTATGAAGCTTATCCTGTAATTTGGTGGCAATTTCAGATAACTCTAAGGACAGTGAAGGATGTTAAACAGGGTAATGGGCTAGACAGAATCGGGGGACTACTTACATGAAACAGGATGCTTAGAGAAAACCTCACGTAGGAGTTTGATCTAAGATGTATGATGAGGAAGCCCTGGACACTCGAAAGTCAGAAGAAGAGCATTCCCGCCAAATGGAATGGCAAGAATCATGGCCAGAGGCAGGAAGGAGATTGTTGGGGGGTCTGAAGAATGCCTGGAGCTGCATTTTGGAGAGGTAGGGGTGGACAGGAGTGAAGTGAGGAGGCTTGGGGGGCACCTAGGGCTTGTGGTAGGCCAAATGAGGATTTTTTTTTTTTTAACTCAAGGCACAGCCAGAAGCCAGCAGGGTGTATTAAACAGAGTAGTGATAGGCTGTAATGTACTGAAAGGTTACTGTGGTAGGTGTGTGAAGGATGAATGAAAGGGGAAACGAGGGGAAGTAGAAATTGAGGGGTCACCTAGGAGGCTGTGTCGTTGACCATGTAAAACAGACAGTGACTCCGAGGAGGATGTGAGTCCTGGAGGAGGAGGAAGAGGTGCGTTTGAGCTGGAGTTGGGTGGGACATGACGTCCTGAAGGCTTCACAGGGATGAGACAGAGAGACTCAGGGAGACCTCGGAGTTTGTGTCTGGAAACTGGGAGGGTCCTTGGTGCCATTTACCAAATGAAGTCCAATCTATTTTCTGACCTGCCCAAATGAGCTCTTGCTGAGTACAAATTGAGCAGGAGTGGCAGACTTGAAATTAATTAGAAGCAAGCAGAAAAGAAATCTGGCAAGTATGCATCGATACCCCAAGGTCCATGGATAGTCACAGAACCACCCGTGGTGCTCCAAAACTGTCATGTGCAAAAGTGGTGATCTGAAATGTTTGTTTTTAAAAATATTAATCATTTGAAGGAAGTAGCTGAGAGTTTCATTACATCTTCAGCTCCACACCTTGTCTCCACTGTCATTTCCAAACCACACACGTGTAGCTTCTTGCTAGACATCAGATGTGACTGTCGATTGTCCCTAAGACCTATTGCTTTTCCTGTAAAATCAACACTGTCTTCCGGAATCTCTGCCTGTGCTATGTCGTCACAGTATCTAAGGCCACCAGCTAGATACCTTTGAATATCATCTCCTCTTGTTTGTCATATCCAGTTGATGCCAGTTCTTACTGATTGTGACAGAGACTCAAATCGTAAGAACCTGTGTATGGGGGGAAATCATTTGATCAATCACCAAGCCTTGGAGCCAGGCCTTGGAGATGCCTGGAACCAGGAAGTGAGAGGCTTCTCACCTCTGCTCCTTATCGTCTCTGGAAGCTTCCTCTGCTCAGTCAGAGGTGGGCCCCAGCAGTTCCAAGTCCAGTATTTAAAATCCTGGGTAAGAGCTCCGACTGGTGCAGCTGGGGTCACCCTGCACTAGGGTGACCCTGACTGGCAGCACCACAGTGGAGATGAAGTAGCAGGATCAGTTCTCCAATAAAGTGAGGTTGGGGGATCCTTGGAATGAGAAATGAGAGCTAGATAGAAAATGTTCTAAGCCAGGTGTGGTGGCTCAGGCCTGCAATGCTAGCAGCTCCAAAGGCTGAGGCAGGAGGATCACAAGTTCAAAGCCAGCGTTAGCAACTTAGCAAGACCCTGTAACTAAATAATACATAAAAAGAGTTAGGGATGTGACTCAGGGGTTAAGTGCCCCTGGATTCAATCCCTGGTACAAAAAAAAAAAGAAAGAAAAGAAAAAAAATTCTGAAATAGCTATGCACAGAGACTTCCAGATATATTTTTTAAGTTAATTGACACAAAGGGCTAAACCTGTGTTACAACAGAACAATAATTGTACACACTGAAATTTGTCGAACATGTATAATTTCATCTGCAATTAACAAAAACTACCATTTGTGTTAGGTATTACTATTTCTATCTTAACAATGAGGAAACCTAGGCTCAGAGACATTTAGTGATTTGTCCAAAGTCACACAGGAATAGTGGCAAAATTAGGGTCCAAATTTGGTTCCTCTGAAAACATCCCATGCCTTGGACTGTCTTCCTTTTGCCGACATTGTTGTGAGTGAGTACTGCGTGCTCAGGACCATTCTGAGCCATGACAAGAAGCCTTGTTGTTGGGAGCCAGGTGCTCTTTGATGCACTGTAATGAACCTGTAATAGGTATTGATTGTCTTAAATTTCCAGGAAAATAACACTGTCGCCATTCCCTTACTCACTGGAGTTTGAGCACACTGCACAGACGAGCACATTAGCTCTTCTGTGTGGCTCTCTCTTTTCCTTGCTCAGGCAAACAGTATATAAGTCAGTGTTTTTTTGTTTTCATGATGAACTATGGACAGAAATCAAAGAAAATATTTGTTTTACAGGATTCTTGATGAAATTTTTGTAATAAGCTCAGCAAAGCCCTGTGGCTACAGATGCCCACAGAAGTTATTTTTCCATAGAAGGGAGACAGGAGAGAGGAATGGTACAAAATGCAGACAGACCTGGGTACTAGTCCTGGCCATGCCATACACAGCCCTCTGTTCCTGGACATTTTCCCTGAGCCTCTCTGAGCTACTTTCTCAGGTTAATAATTATACCTGCTTTGTAAAACAATATATGCAAAACCATTAATGTTCAATAAATAGCAGCTCAATAAATGACTAACAGTGATAAAAGCGGTTAGAGAAGGTATATCAGAGATATAGATTTTGTGAGAATATTAAACAAGCTGGCACACTTAATACCCACCTCAATACTCATTCAAAAAACATAAGATTTTAAAAAATTCTCTGGCTGGTATTTTTTTGTGTTCTGGTCGGTAGAGACAGATAAGAAACAAATAAATACAAACTGTCATGCATCTGATGGTGATGAATTAAGTAGGGAAGGGTGATGAAAGAGTAGGGCACCAGGCTATGGTTTAAGACAGGGATTTCAAGGGCTTCCTCTGTGATAAAGATGGAGGCCCAGCATTCCAATCACCATGTGGCCTAAAAACCTGCTCACCCACACACTTCCAAGACTCCGCCAGAGACTCAGGCAGACGTCAGTGTGAACACCCAATACCAAAAACATTTGGCCAAACCCTTAAAACTCATCCTGTGTACATGTGGTCTGTGTTCCTCTCTCCTTCCTCCATTTCCACTCACTTTCTGGCCTCTCTTTACCTTTCATCCTCTGAGGCTGAACATTGGTGTTGGTTTTTCTCTTCTTCTGTGCCTCTCACACTTTTCAGGCAAGGGCTGTCATCTCTCATGTGTACAGTTGGCTCTGGGACTTGGGGTTGGAAATGGGACTGTGGACCGGGCTTTCTCTGGTGACCTTTCTCTTTTCCCTGCATTAGGATCCATTGGCGGCCTCTTCTTTGCCGTTGGCATCGCCCAATATGCCCTGTTAGGATACTTCATCCGCTCCTGGAGAACCCTAGCCGTCCTGGTGAACCTGCAGGGGACGGTGGTCTTCCTCTTATCTTTGTAAGTAGCTCTTCTTCTCGAGAGTTTTAATTCAGTGAGCAGAAGGGATGTAAAAGAGGATGCAGGTCAGCACTTTGCATACACTGACTTTGGGGAAGAACTGACCTCTGCAGGTGATCCAATCCTTGGCCGCTCCTGGGATGAGAGATGGATGCCGCTTAGTTAGTTCAGAATGCAGGTACCTCTGTTTGAGATGACCACTCAACATGCTGCCTTTAAACTTCAGATTGTTGGCATCGGGTACCAGTTGTTTTGTTTTTTTTTTTAACTCAATGCCTCAAGCTTAAAGATCTTCAGGCTGGATCAGACCATGGGCTAGGAGTAGCCCTGAGGTATGATACTGTGAGCCAAGTATTCAAGTCGAATGTGTATGCTAAGTGAACTAAGCCAGTCCCCCCAAAACCAAAGGCCAAATGTTCCCTCTGAGATGCAGATGCTGACTCAAAATAAGGGAGAGGAGGGCAGCATAGAAGTTCAATGGATTAGATAAAGGGGAATGAAGCGAAGGGAGGGGGAGGGGAATAGAAAGACAGTAGAATGAATTGGACATAACTCTCCTATGCTCATCTGTGAATACACAACCGGTGTAACTCCACATTCATGTGCAACCACAAGAATGGGGTCCTAATGAGAATAAGTTATACTCCACGTATGTATGATATGCCCAAATGCACTCTATTGTCACGTATATCTAAAAAAAAAATAGATTTAAAAAAAATATGTGGGGGAAGAATTGTGCAGTAGCAACTGTTTAACTTGAAGATGAGTCTCATTTCAGGGCCTATAAATGTGCACTCTGGAAGAGTCTCAGATGTGGGGGATGCCCTTAGGGTGCAGAGCAGTATAAGGCTGGCTCCCTGGTCAGGGTGGGTTCTATAAATAACGGCCCAAAGTGTCACACTGTGACAGTGGTGGGCCACCAACACTAGCCCATTTCATCAGAAGTTTCAATGTGTCCTATCAAAGGTCTTTCTCACCTGACGGGTCCAATTTCTAAGTTTACTCATTAAAATCCTTGGCATGAATGAGATTTTCATCCCATGGTACCAGCTTTCTTCTGTACCATAAAACGAGAGAGAGAGAGAGAGAGAGAGAGAGAGAGAGAGAGAGAGAGAGATGGTAATATTTTAATTCAGGTGGCTCTTTCATTTAGTAACTCTTTACCCTGGTTCTAAGTTGACCTTTAATGGGGATCAAACTAAAATTTGCTCTCATATGCAGTAGTCAACGTCAACCTGGACTAAAGAAACAAAAATCATGAAAATTATTTAGTTATGTGAGTTAGAGTGAGGTAATTTAATTAGAAATGGAAACCCAGCAGTATTTTATTAGCTTATATATTGTACATCTTCGAAAAACAATAAGTGGGTGCCTACTATAGTACGTTGATTTAGTAAGAACTCATGTAAATATTTATGAATGAATATGCTTCCAGCTATTTAAAGGAGCTCAGGCTTCCCCATGCAGTCTGGCTCTCTCCTCCAACAGTAGTGTGAAATCCGTGGATAAGCTACACCATTCTGCTCTTCTTTTTCTGAGTGAATAGTCTGAGTTGGATTCTGCTAGTGCTAGCTAGGGGTATCTCCTCACCGGAAAATGAATTCAGGTCGAGAGCAGTAGAAAATAGAGGGAGGAAGACGCATGCAATTAGATATCTACTTACTCCATCAATCCTGGAGCACCAGGCGTCCCACAGATGGCCTCCCGTGTGTTTCCCGACTTTCTCCTGAACTGTCGCTCAAACCCTCTGCTCAGGCCCACTATGCTCTGAGATATTGTCATCCAGCAAGCTTTTCTTGACCATCCCTCCTGCTCCAAGTTACTCTCTTTCTTTCCTGAATTCCCCAGCACATAACCCAGTCTCTTCAGGGGCCTTTTATTTCTGCCTCCTGCTGGAGCCCTGCCTCTCTCTGAACCAGGAGTCCTCAGACAGAAGCAGGCTCAGCTCCACAGTGCATTTCCCCCAGCCCCAGAGCCCAGGGCCTTCCACACAGTACAACCTTCCTGTCCATCGGACAGACACAGGCACAAAGATATCCATAGTGACTTTCACAATTGGCCGTCATCAACGTTATTTTAGAATCATATGTTGCTTGTTTACCAGAAACATTTTTACCTAGCTTAACATTTCCTTATTTTGCTGGGCGCAGTGGTGCACGCCTGTAATCTCAGCGGGCTTGGGAGGCTGAGGCAGGAGGATCGCAAGTTCAAAGTCAGCCTCAGCAATGGCGGGGCACTAAGCAACTTGGTGAGACCCTGTCTCTAAATAAAATACAAAATAGGGCTGGGGATGTGGCTTAGTCAGTGGCCAAGTGCCCCTGAGTTCAATTCCTGGGTTGAAAAAAAATTTTTTTTTCCTTATTTTAAAAATATTTGAATCTAAGTAATTTTATTTTTTGCTGAAAATGGGTGCCTTCTTAATTTACAAAGATTTGCCATCTTTAAAGATAGTCACAGAACATTTTTTGAACAAAAGGAACGTTGCTGAATTAGTCTTTTAACTTTCAAGTGTGACCATGGCACAGGTGACCATGCCATCAGGAAGAGGGCAGTATGTTCAAAGATCTGCTTTTCCTTTTAAAAACATGTCTTACTGTTTTGTTTGTATAATCTGCATGTGTCCAAGCTCATACTCTCAAATATGTCCACAGCAAGTCAGTGACCCTTCGAAAAAGTGAGCTATTGGCCTCTGAAAATGCAGAGAAATATAAAGTACTAAATTTACACCATCAAGATAAAATTTTCCAAGTAGAAATAGTTAACTTGTTAACTCAGAGTTAAATTTCCAAAGCCTGAATGACTCACACATATTATCTTCAAAAATGCTTTTTACACTTTTAAAAATAATTTCTTATTGTTTATAAACAATTCTGAAAATACAGAGAGGCTTGGAGGAGAGGATGACTTAAATTCCCCAAAGATAATAACTGTGAATATTGTTGGTATATTTCCTGCCGGTTCTTTTTACTCCTTCCAAACCTGTACCATTTTAATTTTTATCATCTTTTACTTTCTCTACATAGTTTTCACAATCTTCTTCTTTAGTTCTTTTTCTTTGTATTTAGACTGATCAGTTAGTTTTACTCAGTAGCTCATACACTGGCCAGTTGATCCAACTTATCCAATCGGCAGATTAACATTCGACAGAACAATTATTCACTTGGTTATTTTCTTGCATGTCAGTAATAATCAAATGGCAATAAAGAAGTAAATAAAGGAATTTTACAAATTGTCAGAAATAGCCTTCATTCCTGCTTTTATTGACCATCAAGTGTTATGCATGAGTATTCTCTCCCTCAGTTGCAAAACTTCTAGGAAAATTCCTATTGTTTACAGTGTCTTTCCTCTCAGCACTTCTAATGGTTAATCTGAATAAAATGAAAACTTTTTTTTCCCCTTCAGTGCTGGGGATTGAACCCAGGATATTGCACATATTAGGCAAGTGATCTATCACTAAGCTAAATCCTCAACCCCTGAAAATTCTTAATAAATGGTTATTGACAGAGTAGCCATCCATTAAGCTTTTAAATCCTATACTGTTTGTTGCCAATTCACCATCTTATTGAAAGGCACAGGAAATTCTAAAAAGCACCTTAAATACCTAATATTATTCACCCAAGTTTCATCTTTGGCGGAAAATGTCAAATTCGATGTAAATGACCTTGATGTTGTGTTTAGTAAACAAGGCTTCCACATTCCTACAGTGGCATTGTTGTCTTTGAGAAGTTTTTGGAAAATATATTCATGATTGTGAAGACGCAGAAAAGCTATGTAATATCGAAGTCTTGAAAGTGTGTAAGAAATATAATTATTCAACACTTTGTGGTTATATTAGAGAATAACTGTTGTTTTGTAACTAGAAGTGAACCTGAAAAATAACTTTTTTATTCTTTAAGGCTTATGTAAAGATCAAGAAGTTCCTCAGGATGAATTAAAGCTGGTGTGTTGGATGATTTAAATATTTTGAAACAGTAAACAGTCAAAAGTAGCTAAGATGTAACTGTTTCATTTAAAAAAAAACATTTTTTTAGTTGTTGATAGACCTTTATTTTGTTTTATTTATATGCGATGGTGAGAATCGAACCCCATGCTTCACACATGCCAGGCAAGTGCGCTACCACTGAGCCCCAGCCCCAGCCTTCACTAACTGCTTCATTTTTATGTGTGGTCTTAAAATAATGTCTCCCTCATAAATTGCATATCATGATGTTAAAAAAACTCCTTTTAAAAAAATTTGTTTTCCTAATGAGATAATAAAGATTTCTGTCTTCGCGTAAAACTTTTTTAGAACTTAAAAAAACGCACTATCTCTTAACTCATAATTCTAACAACTCTTGTCCCCTGATCCATGCTTCATGAAGAATCTGCTTTATTCAACACTAAGGAATTGCCGTTCAGTTACTAAAATTGATTTAAAAATAAATGCAAGCTAGTTACCTTTATTATTGATATTTTGAAAACACACTTCTAGGTTTTGATTGATAGAGTGGGCCCCGCTAACGTTGGTGTGAATGTTGAAAACAGCCCTTTCTCTCTTTCTCTCGTATGTCATCAGGAGAGTCAAGCTTTAAACCTAAGGCAGAATACAGCTGAGGTGAGGGACCTCGTGTTCTAGTGGGTGATTTGTGTCCTTCCTCTGCACGTGCACCTATATGAATACACAGCCTTTAATGACGTCTCTTTCAGATTCATTCCTGAATCACCTCGTTGGTTATACTCCCAGGGTCGACTGAGTGAGGCCGAAGAGGCACTCTACCTCATCGCCAGGAGGAACCGCAAGCTCAAGTGCACGTTCTCACTCACGCATCCTGCCAACAGGAGCTACAAGGAGACTGGAAGTTTCCTGGATCTGTTCCGTTACCGAGTCCTCTTAGGACACACCCTCATCCTGATGTTCATCTGGTAATCTCACATAAAGGGATGTTTTGTGGATCTTCAACCGAGGTTGGGTAATCTGTTCCTTCTTCAGGTTTATAGAAAGCTTTACCGCTTGACAGCAGAAGGTGGTTTTCCCGAAGACAGGACCTGTCCCCTAGCACCTGGTATGTCCCACTCAGCTCTGATTTTGCAGCCCCATCTCTGAAGCAGGAGATGATGGTGCCTGCTGGGCATCGTCCTAAATTTGAGTAAATAGAAACACATCTTTGCTCATGAGGCATTTAATGTGACTAGGTAAGCCCCACCCTCAAGAGAAAGAGGACTGGGTAAAGCCAGCAAGCTCAGCAGAAACTGAAGAGTTCTACCAGCATTTAACCTACCTTTGATTCTGGCACCAAGGGTGTTCCAGCAGTGCCCTGGGCCACATGTTGTGTGGCACTCCTGCTCACCCCCTCACTGAGGTGGGTGAAATGCTATCCCTTGTGTAGATGGGATCCCGGACAGTGGAAGTGAGGGATCCAAAGCCATGTATCAGATCAGTGAACAAGATGATTAGTACTCTGTGCTCCTGATTTTCTGATTCCTTAGCTTATTCCCATGTCAAAATGCCTCTCAAAATGCTCTCAGTGTTAAAGTAAGTTCATTCAGTAGTTCAAGATGGTTCCACTTAAAGATGGAAGGGTTAGAAAAGCAAAAAGTAGATGGGCACTACAATGTGTGTTTTGCACATGTGTTTTAATATTGGACATTCTGCCGGAATTTGTTTTAATTTGTATATTCTGCTATAAATTTGACCCTGTACTGGGCATGATTTTTTTTTTTAATTTTTTTTTTTTTTTAGTTGAAGATGGACACAATACCTTTATTTATTTGTATGTGGTGCTGAGAATCGAATCCAGTGCCTCACACATGCCAGGCAAACGCTCTACCACTGGGCCACAACCCCAGCCCCTGGGCATGATTATTATACATCACAACTAAAGGATGGTTGTGCTGTTTATAAGCATTTGCCATGAAGGGTGCATAGAAACCCGCATTTTCATGGAAGAATAAAGAAAAGTGACTTTATATAAAAGCAGTTGTGTGTAGAAAGCTGAAAAGAAGAGTTGCTTGAGAATAAGAAGCTGAGAAGGTATTTTTCTGTATACTGATTCTCTTTTCTTACCCAGACACTGACTGCCCCCTGTATGGTCAGGGGCCAGGTCCTACAAACTGCTGCCTTCTCCACAGAACCAGCACAGTGTAGGGGTATCACAGATCCATAATGCTGAGTGAAAGATACAGCTTAGAAACATGAAAATCAAGAGAACCTTTGAAAATCAAATCTGGTTAACATCAAACCTGATTTGATGTTTACTTATTTAAAAGCAAATATTTATGAAGTCTGTTCAAGTTACTTGGGGCTCCATAGAACTCTGCATTTGTACATCACGTAGACAGTCAAACCCTCTGCATTGGAGGAAGCCCCTATTTGAAGATTTTTTACTGTTTTTTATTTTCGTTTAATTTTTTTTTCTAGTTATATTAACTTCTAGATTCAGGCCTTTGCAAAATTAAAACAAACAGAAACCAAGCTAAGAGACAGGGAGCCTGTCCCGGTTTATTTTATTTCTTACACAGCCAAAGAAACTCTTCTCAAATAAACTTCTTCCCCCTGGGCTCGGAATGTTCAAAGATGCAATAATCGAGCCAATGTCATTTGACATACTGCCATTCTTTTTGAGGATGTTGTAAAATTCGAAAATCTTTTCTGTGCCTCTGCCATTGAAGAAAGCCTTAACTAGGGAGTAAAATTATACCTCTGTGTTTAACATCTGTTCCTTTGCTTATTTCCTGTGATAGTGCCTTTTAAAATGGCTCTTCAATGCCCTAAATATACTGTTAAATATTATGCAAGGATCTTAAATTTTGTTTGGTGCACATAAAGAGGATTTAAATGATTTTAATAGCTGTAATTATGGATCCCAACGACCAAGTCTGCCATGAAGGCAACTTGCAGATGAGAGGCCCAGCCTGGGGGACTTGGGGATGATCAGGCCTTTCATACCTCATGTTCTCCTGTTCTCTTTCACTGCCAGCTTGTCACTAAATTCCCCTATTGTCCTGAACTGGTTTTGTTTATTCTTGTTCTGACTCAATACCATCCCAACTATGGCTAGAATCACTTCACTGGAATTTCTATCTTAAATGCAGTGTAGACACATTAACCCAAACAACCCACAAAGAACTATATGTGAGAGCAAGGTCTCTCCTATGGGTGGGAAGCATTTAAAAGGTATTTTAGAAAACTGCATGGATTTAAATTTGTTTAGCCTTTTGCTCACATGCAAGATGCCCAGAGTAAAAGAAAAGTGGGTAACTGAGTGTCCCTTTGCATCTGCATCTGTGATGTCCTGGCTACAGGCCTGCTCATCTGCCTTCATGCACGAGGGAGAGGAGCAGGGTGCACTTGCTCCAGGGCTTCCTCTCTCCCTTCCTCCCCAGCCTTTTCTCCTTATATCTACCACAGCCTATTAATAGGCCAGGGCACTTGGCCCCTTTCTCTGTTTTATTGCTTACATAGCAATTTATGGCTTACAAAATATATTCAGATACTAGTAAAGCCCAGTTTCAGTTTTTTAAATTTGTTCTGTTTGATTTTTATTTTAATAATGCAGTCTGCTAGGCACAAAAGTTCCTATTACCATCTTTGCTATTTGGAGCTTCAGGTTGGCACTCTGATTGGCCAAACTCCTTAGCTTTTTAGTTCCCAACTGCAGGGATACTTGGTGCCTAGCACAATGCCTGCCATCTAAGGAGATATTCCCTATTTCAGAAATGATATACATCAATAAATTAGTAGCTTTTCAAAGGCTTTTCCCCAGTTGATCCTTCTGGAGGATCCTGCCTCTGCTGTGACCCCTGAATTTTCTCGCCTGTTCTAAGTCTTTAGCATGTGCACCTGCTGAATGCAAGAAGAGTTAATACCCAGGGTAGGAAATTCCTATATCCCAGTGGGGTGGAGTGCCTGACATTTCTGGCCTACAGGTGACCCACTGAAAATCCATCACTTCTCAGTTCATACTCTCCAACCATCCTTTGTTGATTTTTCTCCATGGGAAGACTTTTCCAGAGTCATTCTGATAATATCACAAAACCAGCCTTAGGCAAGTGTTCCATACATTGTTGAATTAAATGAAGGAAGAATGGGGTCATTGTTTTCTACTCAATGCAAAAATGCTTGAGAAAGCACAAACAATATCTTTTCTCTTGCAGGAGCTAGGCCTCCATTTGCTTTATATAGTATACAGACATAAATCATTTCCAAAGCCCCATCATGTTTTTGTTCTTTCCTAAGATAGAAATTTACGTGAAGACAGAAAGCTTTGCAGGAGACTCAAGCTTTTTGCATGCAGCAGTTTGCATTATATTGAACCAAGTCTATTTTAATCTTCTCCAGCAAACTTTGACATGTTTTCTGTTGTCTTGTCTTTCACTTTCCTGGTCCTTTGACACCCCCCCCCCCAAAACTGCAGGTTCGTGTGCAGCTTAGTGTATTATGGCCTCACACTGAGTGCAGGTGATCTAGGTGGAAGTATTTATGCCAACCTGGCCCTGTCTGGCCTCATAGAGATTCCATCCTACCCTCTGTGCATCTACTTGATTAACCAAAAATGGTGAGTATGGATGAGCATGAAGTGCACCATAGAGAAGGTGCACGGGTGGCACACTGACTTGCTTATATACATACATACCTAGATATTATCATTTTTTTCTCTGTAGACAGTATCTGCTAATCACTGTGGTGATTAAAGTTTCTTTCAGGCCAAATGCATTTAGAATACGTTTTTTGGTGCAATACTTTAGATTCATATGTGTGAGTTTTTATATAAGGCTTTAATGCTTTATTGAAGACACCACAAGATGAGGGATTTTAGGAGTCTCTAAGTACATTGTTAGGCCCAAGAGATGGGGTTATCAATATAGCTTAGAATTTCATCGACCCAATTCATAGTATTTATAAGCTTTTGTAAGTAGGAAGAAGAGTGAGGGAACTAGAAAGAATTTTCTTACCTCTTAAGACCCACTTTGTTGAGAGGAAGAAAAAATACCATCCTGCTCTTGCTACTTATGGTCAGTGGGCACAACTTTGAAATATATTTAAAAAGTTATCATGGAGCTCCCTTTCCTTGGGTTTTGTAAGATAATTTCTATTATTTAGCCCCTGACCACAGCAACTAAAACCCTTTTTCTGTTTGATCTAGGAATCATTTGGATTGTACCGTTTCTCATTCTCTGAGAATTATCATTGTAACTAAAATCGGGGTTGGCACTGCCCTGATGCTGTTGTCATGATGTCTACAAAACTGTGAAGGGCAGGTCTGGGTCTGTTCGGTTGGATACTTTTCTCATAGGTAGCATTCCAGATACCTGGGCTGACTCCTGCTGGTGACTGCAGCTTACTTTCGCATGCTGGGGAGTCTTTCCCTAGCACCCCCGGTTTTATCACATGCGCCCCCCTGTGCTGCTGTAGCTTCCTGTGCATGCCTGGCAACCACTGAGTGTTACAAGGAAGCTGTCCATGGGCATGTCCTATGTCTTTGCAATCACTAGGGCCTGTCATGGTACATGTCACTTGAAAGACACTCAATACTGGCTGTTACATTAAGCAAAATGACCGGGAAAAGAAGACTAAAGACCCTTCCAATTTCCCAGCAACTTCCACCCAGAGCCAGGATTTAAATCTGAAGCAAAGGGAAGGATGCTGCCTTTGGGGTCAGGCAGACCCGAATTCATCTGTTGTTAGCTTTATGACTTTGGCAAGTTCCCTCACTGAGCCCCCACTGTATTCATTCTCACACTAGGTATTATAAAATCCCCCTGGAAAAACTGTTATCAAAATTACAATGTTGACATTCTTAGCAGGGTACCCAGTATGTTCTAAGTAAATCCCCCACATTCTGGTCAGTAATTTACACAATGCTCCTAGATGCATATTCCCTTTTTACCTCTATGGGAAAAGTAGCCAAAGTTCAGATACATTAAAGTTAGTTTTAGAAACATGATGTGATTTGTCTACTAGATAATTATCTACTAGATAATGGATTTGTGGTGTGAAACAAACAGATAATGGAGCCAGAGATTACAAGAGACACTTCTAATGAACTTGGAGTTCATGGCACAAAATTAAAAAAAAAAAAGACTCAGGTTTTCACTGTCTTTCCAGAAATGAATAAAGTAAGAGGAGAAAGGTGAAATTTTTTATAAATAGATAAAGGCCATACAATAAGTAGAGCTAATAGATCTACAACACACAGCCTAAACAAATAGCCACATTTAAAATCTAATTTTGATTCTTGTGTACCTAAAACAATTGACTTTGTGTAGGTATCTATTTTCTGCTTAATCTCTCTCTCTTTCTCTCTCTCTCTGACAATATGTGTGTTCTGTGTGTAAAATATGTCAGCTCATCTGTCTATTTTTAATTTAGACAAAAACATGGTGGAGGAAGATCAGTAGTGAAAGAAACCATGAGAGAGAAGAGGGAAGGGAATGGGAAAATACTGGGGAATGATATTGGGCAAGTTACATTGGTATACTGTGTGCATGGACCACTACATAACAATAAATCCCACCATTATACCTAACTATGGTGCGCCAATAAAAAATATGGGAAAAAAAAGAAAAGGGAGGCATAATATCTTACTTCCAAGACTAAAGCTCTTATTTGAAAGTGATTTTAAGGTGTTCATTACATTGCACTTAATTCTAACCCACGAACAAGACATTTTTTTCATTTGCATTTTGAAGAGAAAGAGACTTTTCAAAACATTGTTTAAAATTGTTAGTTAAATAAGATTAAGGTAACCAGAAAATGAAACGAAATAAAACATTTCGTTTTCTTTTTCAGTTTCATTCTCCAGAGGATGAAGAATGTAATTGTGTGCCTATGGTTTTATTATTGGGATTATATAAGATAATATGTGGAGAACATTTAAAATAGCACCTAGAACATAGTAGACACTCGTGGAAATAGAATGATTCTATGTCCTTCCTGTTCTGTGTCCCCAGCAGACTCACATTTGCCACCCACTCCTTTAAAAGAGTTGAAACTGAGGACATTTAGATAGGAAAATTGGGAGGAAGGAGCAGATGGATTTATAAGATTCTTAAGAGAAACGTGTGATTTTTCTATTATTTAGGTTTGGTCGGAAACGGACATTAGCAACATTTCTGTGCCTAGGAGGACTGGCTTGTCTTATTGTAATGTTTCTTCCAGAAAAGAAAGGTATGCCTTTCAAATTTCTACAAGGGTTTTGAACAGCACTTTTATTACAATGAATCTCAATATAGTAGAGAGATTACCATATGCCATGCTTCATTTCTGTGATTGCATATTATTTAGCAATTGTGTAGGGTATAATGGGCCAGATTCTTTCCATTCCCTAAACTATTCTCTGGGTGAATAATGTGCTTAGAGGTGCACTATTAATTCTCTCAGGCTATTAAGCTACCATCTGGGGTGTCTGGGATGCAGTACTGGTGATGTGAGAGTTGTTTATTTGATGAGGAGGAGGACCGGTTAGTTCTGCACAGAAAGAAACTCCATCCAAGGCTGCAAATTACACTCACTCCAGCCAGTCACGAGACTGGAGATTGGAGACAACAGTTCTCAAACGTGGCTTTGATTTCTCAGTTTCTCTGTCAGTATACCCCAATAATAATAACAACACAATAACCCCAAGAGTAATAGTCCCTGTTGGTCACAATGAATATGCTCTTGGTCTTTTGTGAAGGGTGCATATGACACCTTCAGGACCCTGTTGTATTTTCTATATTCATAGCTTTGCTATGCAGACACAACTGCAAAAAAAATGTCCCTTAGCCTCTTCATCTAACCTGATTACTGCCTCGATATAGAAATTCTGTGGATACTGCAGATTTTTTTTTCTTTCTTTTCGTCTTTTTTTAGGCTGGGAATGGGGTAGGGCAGCTTGCACACCTGAGGCATGCCAGTTACTGGGAACTGTGGTTTTAGCTGCAGTTTTCCATAAGTACTAGTGGGTCCTAACAACTCTCTTTTGTGGTGCTTATGGTATAACCAAAGCCCTGTTTGGGGGCGGGGCGCTTTTGGATTTTGACAGGGCTATATTCTAGAGCTTGCACTCCACCTAGGAATGATTATGAGATGGTTTGACAGAAAGTTTTGACAGCTACTGGAAGTGCATGGAGAAGTCATTTCACCATCGGAGCCTATCATGTACAAAATGCTCCTTTCGTAAATTGCTTCTCCTTGAACTTGGGTTGTGCTATTGTCTCACAGAGAGGCCTGCAAAGCTGCCTCTTCTCCTTGTTCTCTGTTCCTACTCTGCTCTAGGTCACCAGTGGAAGGTCTGAGCCTTGACTCCAGAGTGCAGGTTGTTTGAGATTTTATGCAGTGTTTAGAGCAGCCTAACAGTGGTTTTCATGAAATCAAGGAAACTAGAGAATTCAGTCATTTTGCCCATTTCTTAACATCTAGCCAAACCAGTGCCTCTGTCCGTGTCAGGTTGAGGGGATACTCTTCAGCCCTGCTGGGGGCTGTCGCAACTAGGTGCCCTCTTCTGTTTATTTGGGGCAAGAACTGATGGGTTTCAAATCACTGTAGCCTTCTGCTCAGCAGTTTGTTTGGGGGAGGTACCTTGGGAACTCAGTTGTCGCAGACCTGCAACAGCCTGGTGTTCCATTTATCACTTCATAGAGGAAAACATTTCCTTGTTAGTGTAAACACACCTGTAACCGTCACACTTCCAAGAGCCAAGCCAGTCAGTGTCTTTCTCCCTCCCACTTCTTTGCACTCTGTAGGTAATCCACCCTCTAGGACTGGCCCTTTCTTGAAATTATCTCTTATTTTAAATAACAAAACAAAAATCCAAGGTGAAGGCAGATGGCTAGTCTCCCCTCTCTGCTCTGCTCCAGTCTGTTTTAAGAAAGCCATGTGAACCCTTTGTTGGTCACACCCATTGGTGGACACCGAGTGAGAAACAGTGTAGCAGAGTGTCTTTTATGGGCTATTCAGGTGCCGCAGGAATATGATGCCTCTATTATACTCAGGAAAAGTGGATATCCAGTCTATTTTTGAAGATTTTTCTGGGGAAGAAATTCTGTAATGTCCCTTATTGAATTATTTCTATTTTTAATAACCATTACTGTTAAAATTATCCTCTTCCACTACACTTGAGCCCATTTCCTTTCACTTGATTCATCACTGGAGATGGAGAACAGATGGTCACCTTTTTTTTTTTTTTTCCCTGCATAATCCTTTCTTTATTTGCAGAGTCCTCTAGCTAGGCCTGAATCTTCTTTGAGCTAAAAAAAATTTTTTTCTTTAAGCTTTCTTTAAATCATTCATATTTACTCTTGAAAATATGCTGTCTGCTATCTTTTAATCTGTCTTTTAAAGTTTTAGCTACATGTTCTGAAAATTTTGATAAATACATATGATGAAAAAGAGTCAGCAGTTTTGGGGGCTGGAGTTGTAGCTCAGTGGTAGAGTGCTTGCCCCTCATGCGTCAGGCCCTGGGCTCAATCCTCAGCAGTTTTAGCACTTTTAACAGTTCTGTTAACCAGTTTTAACAGTTCTGTTAGCGTCTTCTGTGACTGGGAGACATTTATTTTTCTCATTGCTTCTAGTGCTCATTTACCCTCACCTTTCCCCACCAAATATGCCTACATTTCTCATTTCTGCCAACTCAGCCTTTTCTGTCAATCAGCTTCTTTTTAGCGGGTGTGCATGATGGTGGTACTGTATGTCTAAGGTATTTGTGGATTCAGTGACAGTATATCTGCAGGGGAGACAATAAGTGAGCTAAAAAGTAAATTATCTGGCATTTCTCGAACTGTGGTTCATAATGACAAGGTGATCATCCCTAATCCAAACATTTGAAATTTGAAATGCTCCAGAATCTGACACTTTTGAGGACTGACATGCCACAAGTGGAAAATTCCACACTGACCTCTTTGTAATGAACTATGTTCGAAATACGTATGATTTTCATAAAAATATTGTATAAAATTATCTTTAAGGTATATGTATAAGATGTATATGAAACACAAAACTTGGGTCCATCTCCAAGATATCTCATTATGCACATGTAAATATTCCAAAATCAATTTAAAAAAAAAAAAAACACCTTGAAATACTTCTGATTCCAAGCATTTCAGATAAGGGATGCTCAGCCTATACTAGACAAGTTCCTTACCAGGTATATTCTTTCATATTGATTAGCCTCCAAATAAATGTTCTTGTCTAGGAATAATATTAGCTAATATTTTTTTTTCTTTTTTTTTAATTTTTTATTGTTGGCTGTTCAAAACATTACATAGTTCTTGATATATCATATTTCACCCTTTGATTCAAGTGGGTTATGAGCTCCCATTTTTACCCCATATACAGATTGCAGAATCACATCAGTTACACATCCATTGATTTACATATTGCCATACTAGTGTCTAATATTAGCAGGTAGTCACTAATTTTTTTCCCAAGATGGGTCAGCAGATATTTTACCTGATCTGTGTTTTTCTTTGTAGGATCCTGAGTGTGTTAGCTTTCTGTCACTGTGTAAAAAAAAAAAAAAAAAAAGAAAAGAAAGAAAGAAAAAGAGAGAAAGAGGAAGAGGGAGGGAGGGGAAGGGGGAAATAAAAGAAAAAACAAAATGAGAAAAACGATTTAAAAGGAGGAAAGATTTATTTTCACTCAGAGTTTCAGAGATTTCCATCATGGTCACTTGGTTCTATGACTTTGGACCTGAGATAAAGCTAAACATCATGACAGAGAGTACATAGTGGATCCAAGCTTTTCACCTCATGGCTATTGGAAGAGAGAGAGGCAGACAGACAGATAGACAAACAGACAGAAAAGGGGCTGGGAACAAGATATATCCTCAGGGTCCCCAGTGATCTACTTCCTTCAACTAGGGCCCAGGTCCTAGAGTCTCTACCGGCTCTCAACAGTGCTGCCAGCTGGGAACCAAGCTTTCCATGCATGGCATTTGGGGGGGCATTCCAGATCCAAACTAGAACATTCTACCCCCGTCCCCAAAGTTTCATGCTTATCTCACAATGCAAAATGCCTTGGGTCCACCTTCAAGGGTCCCCCATAGTCATCAACATTGTAGCATTGCTCAGAAGTCCAAGTCCAGTCTCCTCTGAGACTCGAGATAAACTCCTAGCTGTGAGTCCTTGTAAAAACCAAAAAACAATTTTTTTTTCCCCACAGTGCTGGGGATTGAACCCAGGGCCTTGTGCATGCAAGCAAGCATTCTACCAACTGAGCCGTGTGTGTGTGTGTGTGTATTCTTTTATTTGCTATATATAATATGTTCTTTGAAAAGAAAGTTCTGAAATGACTATGTACATTATATATAACAATTTGTTTTTGATAATTGGGATAAGGTAGATAAATGATCTACAAGGTTCTTTCTTATTATATTTAAGTGCTATTAAAAACAATGTGTTTGAGAAACTCTGCCCTCAAGCCTAGCTAGATTCACATCCAGGTTTTTGTTAAGAGCGATCGTTGATGGCGTCTGTGGGCAAGAAAGACATTGTGGGGAGGCCCTGGTTCAGCCATCTCTCAGGTGAGGTCTCCTTCAGTTTGTTGTGCGAGAGCCTGTTCTCTAGCTGGAGGGCATTCCATCTTCCTAGGAGGTGGGACAACACCTGGGGGCTCCTCGAGTTTACCATGTAAGCCCTGGATATTTTCTGTTTTCCTGAATTCTTGCCTTAGTAACAAATAGCTACTACCCTCAAGGCTTTTAAATAACATCATATTTCTCATGGAAAATAATAAAACACTATGATTAATGACAAAAAAAATTAAAAAGCAAGTTAAATACTTTCAACATGCAATCGTGGGATGGGCACAGGATCAACTTCTCATTCTTACAGGGAAGAATAGTGGAGTAGAGAGGAGGGAGGGACCAAAGCGAGACTGAAACCCCAGCAGGGCAAGCATTAAATCCTGTAGCTCTGGGTCCAATACCTGGGGCACATGGTAGCAAGATATGGACCCTAACAGTCTAGGGCAACCTCACCCCCTGAGTCCTTGCTGTTTGAAACCCATATAGACTCTTTCCTAGACTGACTTTTCATGCTGCCAACAGCTTCCCATGGTGGGTTTTTGACGTTCCTGGTAACTCTTCACTTCCTAGGGTCTCCAATGCAGTTTTCGCATCGCTCTCAATGGCATAGCACATTGCCCTCTCGGGGGCTTCCGGCCCCTGCACCAGCTCTGCTGCACACTGT